TTTGAAGGCGATAATTGCCGCGGCGTGTTCACAGCACTCGACCTCGCACTCATAGGCGCGCTAGAAGGAGGTGCCGATGGTGATGCCCCCGCATGGACCCGGCATCTTCAACTTCAGATAGGTGTAGTTGGGAATGGCCATGAACTTCGTGTAGCATGGACGTCCCAGGATGGCAAGGTAGGTGCCGTGGAACCCGACCACCTCAAAGGTAAGGGTCTCCATCCTATAATTGGTTGGATTCCCAAAGGTGACGGGCAGATCGATCTACCCAAGTGGTACGGCCTGCTTTCCAGGCACGATGCCGTGGAAAGGCACCCTGGTCGGCTGGATGCGTGATTGGTCGATGTCCATGGCGTCGATCGTTTCAGCGTACATGATGTTGAGGCCACTACCTCCAGCCATCAGCACCTTCATGAGCCGCTTCATGCCAATGATCGGGTCAACCACGAGTGGGTTTCTTCCTAGCTGTAGGACGCTTTCTGGGTGGTCGGTCCGATCAAAGGTTATGGTGGACTCCGACCATCGGAGGAAGGAAGGCGTGGCCGGCTCGGCCATATAGACCTCACGGCGCGCAAGTTTCTGGCGGCGCTTGGAGTCGTAGGCCGCCGACCCTTCAAAGATCATGAGGCAGCCATCCAGCGCCAGAAATCCACCGTCCTTCCCCTCGGCATCGTTTGCGTCCAGCTTGGGCTGCTTCCTATGCTCCCCCTTATTGGAGCCTCCGGATAAGAACCGCTTCATGAGGACGCAGTCCTTATATAGGTGCTTGATGGGGAAAGCATGGTTCAAGCATGGCCCTTAGAGCAGCTTCTCAAAGTGGTCCTGAGTACCCTTGGTGGGCTTCCGACCCCCTTGCGGTTGGTAGTGGCCATGAGCGAGTCCTCGTGCCGTTGCTTGTTCTTCTTCTTGTTGGGACGGTTGGATGTGCCTTTGCCGACATCCTCGTCTCGCTTTGCCTTGCCTTTGGGGCGGTCGAAAATCGCCTCGACCGCCTCCTCACCCAAGGCATGGCTGGTGGTGATGTTGAGGAGCTCCTTGGTGGTTCGTGGGCCCTTACGTCCTAGCTTGTGAACCAGGGACTCACAGGTGGTCTCTGGACAGGAAATCTCCTATGATGTTGGTGTCGGTGACGTTGGGAAGCTCATTGCACTGCTGGGAGAAGCGCCGGATGTACCCATGAAGAGTTTCCCGGACTTTTATCGGTAGTTTTTGAGATCCCACGGGTTCCCAGGACGAGCGTATGTGCCCTGGAAGTTTCCCATGAAGATCTCTTTTAGGTCCGCCCAACTTTGGATTCGGTTGGGCGGAAGGGTTTCCAACCACGTTCGCGCCGAATCGACCAGGAACAATGGAAGGTTGTGGATAATGAAATTGTCACTATCCGCTCCACCGGCTTAGCAAGCAAGCCGATAATCCTTGAGCCATAGTTCGAGGTTTATTTCGAGTTTTTGATGTTGGTCGATGGTCGGTACCGTGGTGGGAAGACGGCATTGAGGATGTGTTGGCCAAAGGCCTGAGGTCCCGGAAGTCGGGGCTCGGGCTTCGGTCCTTGTCACTATCATAGCGTCCGCCACGACGAGGTGGTAGCCATGGCTAGCTTCCTCCCTCTCATCGCTGCAGGCACGCCTACGGGCATCTAGGGTGTTGCGCGCGTCACGGTGGAGGCTGAGACGCTCATGAACCGAGGCCGCGGCACGCGACCTACCGCCTTGCTATGCCTGGTGGACTGACACGTCCCTGTTGGGTCACTCTAAGGGCGCGCGCTGGCTAGCATCGTGCTTGTGTCATTGGGACAATGAGCTTTTTTTCGGCCTGTTGCGCCACCACACGCTCGAGTAGCGTGCGAATCTCGCGATGGGCCCGATGATCCTCTAGTGTCGCAGGCTCTAGAAGCCCTCGGAATAAGGCCGCTACGGCAGCGACATTCTGGCTTGCCCAGGTGAAGTGTGGGAGGGCTTCATCATCCTCGATGATCCTCCGGCTCACGTCGTGGGCCATGACATGCGCACGCCCATCGTCTCCATGGCGCTCGATCTCTCGCTCGAGCTCGCCGGTTCCTACTCGAGCTAGAGTCATGCTTCTTCGAGCTCTTGGTGGCACACCCTCAGCTGCTCTACCCATAGGCGAGGTGGGGCCCCTACATCTCCCTCGACCTCGTCGTCGAGGTCATCTGTTGGGGTAGCCCCTCCCTCATGGATGCTTTCGATGTATCCCTCGGGGGTACCTGCCATGAAACATTCTCGTGAGGGGTGATGGCTCCCCCAGCTGGGGTCAAAGTCGGAGGGCGACTCTGATTCTTTCGCGAGAAGATCGTGGAAAGATTCCACGACGTATTCGGTCATCCCCACGAACTTCGTCATTCGTAGGGAATGGGGGCGTGCGTTGCGCCACAAGGTGGCTAACGGTCTCTACGGTGTTGCGTAGACCGAACGAGAGCGCTATCGGGGCGCTCCGGATGAGGTATTCTAGGGAGAGCGGCTCTCCTCCGGCAAGCTACGTCATGACGTTGGTGAACAAGAAGGTGAGGCGGCGCAGGTCTTCCCTTGACGGTCAAGGTCCTAGGAAGGCGTCGAGCTGGCGCTCTAGGAGCTGGTCGCTCCCGAGGCGTGGGGCTTCGGTGCGTGCAGCTGCAGCTCCCCAAGCGTCTCGGTGATTGCGTCGAGGCCGGTGGAGTGGAGAGGCTGGATGACGATGGGAACCTACGCCAACTCTCCCTCCATCATAACGATGAAGTCTAGGTTCTCGAAGCGCACGTGCGTGCCCGAGACCCAGCTGACGCCGTGACTAACCATCCGAGGCCTGATGTGGACGTCGAGACGCGCAAAAAGCCCCTACCTAGCGCGCCAACTATCGGTGTTTTGGACCACCGACGAGTAAATTTGTATTTGTGCGTCTGGCTCGGATGGTGTACTCGGAGGACACAAGGGTTTATACTAGTTCGAGCGGAACGTCCCTACGTCCAGTTCACTACTGCTCGTGTTACCGGCACTTGGTTTGTAGTAGGGGTTACAAACAGGCGAGAGAGGAAAAGGATCCCAAGTCTCTGGTGGAAGGAGTGAACAGGTGCTGAGAGCTCGATTGCCGCTCAGCCGTATGCTCGTGTCGTGCTCTTGTGTTCAGATGTCCCCCACTTTAGTGTGGGGCGCCCAGCTTCCCCTTTTATAGGCGAAGGGAAAGCGTGGGTTACAGAGGAGGAAAAGGAGAAGAATGAGAGAGAGAGAGAGAGAAGAAGGCTTCTAGGGTTACCGGGTCCTTCTTCTCCTTCATGCGAGTCCCGTTAATCCTATAGATGTCAACAGGGACGGCTCCATGTCGTGTCCCTATTCGACACTGGCGCCATGCGCAGGCGTCATTTGTCGGTCATGGCGTTCCACTCTATCCCGGTGGACATCGTGGTGAACTGATGCGCCTGTCAGCGTTCGTGCGAGGGTTAGGTAGAACAACACTGGCACGTTCGACACTGTTCTTGATGTGAATCTCCAGGTATGGCCCATCATGGCCACGGGTTACATCGAGGTATGCTAGCCTATTCCTTGGCGTTAGAGTTTAGACCCAGGCCCATACGATTGGACCTGGAGTGGTTGGCGACGGTATGGGTCCCCGTCGGACAAGACGGAACTCGCGTCCTCGAGGTCGGGCGAGACGGAGCCCACGACCTTGGGCGAGACGGAGCTCGCACCTAAGGTGTCAGGCGAGACGAAACCCGCGTCTTTGGGGTTGGGCGAGACGGAGCCCGCACCCAAGGGGTCAGGCGAGACGGAGCCCGTGGCCTCGAGGTTGGGCGAGACGGAGCCCGCATCCTCGAGGTCGGGCGAGACGGAACCCGCGTCCTTAGGGTCGGGCGAGACGGAGCCCGGGGTCGGGTGAGACGGAGCCCGCGTCCTTAGGATCGGGCGAGACGAAGACCGCGTCCTTAGGATCGGGCGAGACGGAGCCCGCACCCAAGGAGTCGGGTGAGACGGAGCCCGCGACCTTGAGGTCGGGCGAGACGAAGACCGCGACCTTAGGATCGGGCGAGACGGAGCCCGCACCCAAGGGTTCGGGCGAGATGGAGCCCGCGGCCTTGAGGTCAGACGAGACGGAGCCCACGGTCTTGGGTCGGGCGAGACATTTTAATACGTCTTGAGCCATCCGAGAAGTCAGCGTGGGTGCTCACTTTCTTGCTTTGGGTATCCCTAATATCGATACCCGACAGGAGGAGACGATGGAGAAAGAGAGGAGAGAGCGCAACTCCCCTGCTGGCCGCCGCCGCCGATGTGAAGGAGGCCAAGGTGGCGCGGCGGCGGCGACGGCGGCCGAGCTGGCGAGGAGGAGCGTCGAACTTCTGCGACCGGCCGGGGGCCCTCGAGTCGCCCCCGCCAGAAGACGACGCGAGGGAGAGCTGTCTAATCCATCCAATACTTGTAGATTGGGATGTATTACTAGGTAGCATATTCTTGGTCAAACAAAAAGGCCAAACACACCATGGATTTCCAATTTTAAGAGATTCATGCACGCCCTTTGTGTTCCAAGCATTTCCAATTTTCCATCCTTATTCCTTAGTGCTGAGTGACTGTGCACATAACCTACATCATACAGCCATTGACAGGTGGGACCTGCTTATCAGATCAGATTCAAACATCCTCCTCGTCGGAGCCGTCTCGGCGGCGGCGGAACAAGCCGGGGAACCTATCGAAAGGGGCGCCACCGATGCTAAAACCGCAGACGTCGTGGGCAGCTTCCCTCCCTCTCCTCCTCGTCCGCCGCTGCTCGAGATCCGCGGCCAGCCCATCTCCTGCCGGTGCCGTAGACGTCGTGGGCAGCTTCCCTCCCTCTCCTCCTCGTCCGCCGCTGCTCGAGATCCGCGGCCAGCCCATCTCCTGCCGGTGACCGGCGGCTCTCCTTTCTCCCGTGAGAGCATTCCCGCCCCTAAGCCTGCCCCTTCTTTCCTCTCTTGCGGTCTTGCCCTCTTCGTTCTAACGTTTCAGCGGATCCGCAAAATTAGGGTTTGCAAGCGGCGGATGAGCACGCTGGCGCAGCCGCGGTTCGCCCCTCTCCCTACGGAGCAAATTGAATCCCAAACAGATGCCGGTCAGTCCTCGTCAGCCCTGAAATCTTAAAGATGTAATCACTGACACTTGCAACTGTGGAATTCCTGTGCGATCGATGCTAATATTCATTTCGGATTTTGGCTTCCAGTGGCTGCAGGGTACCAGTTCCGGCTGGTCTCTTACAACATCTTGGCCCAGGTGTGTCTGTTTTTGCTTAGCTTTCTGGCATAGGTGGATGATGGTGGGTTGCCAACCGTGCCTAATAGTCTGCTCTGTGTTGCAGGTTTATGTTAAGAGTACGTTTTTTCTTCATACTCCATCTGCGTGCCTCAAGTAAGCCCTTGATTGACCAGCTGTTTGTGCTATTTATTGGATTTTCATTACAGTCATGGTACTTATGGTTCTAATGCTGTATAGTCATGGTGTCTGAAAGGAAGAAATCTATGGCATTTCCTTATCTAACTATTTCCATGTGGCTTACTTGAACTAGGCTTCATAAGTCGAACAAAGTGATATTGAAATATACAAATTTGGTTCCATGAAGGGTTACCCAGCAGATCTTAATCAAACTGGACGACGTGTTTGCTAAGCAATACAGCATTTAGACTTTGCTCATAAACATATATATACTCCCTCTGTTCCAGATTGTAGCTTTTCTAGGTGCGTATCTTTTGCTATGTACCTAGATATATGCTATGTCTAGATGCATTGTAAAATCTATGTGTCTAAGAAGGCCAAAATGACTTACAATTTGGAATGGAGGGAGTACTATTATACTATTTAATTGTCACAACAGATATTGACAACATGACCCCTAACTTATGTTCCTCTTTCTTGTTTGCAAAATAGGTGGAAATCTCGATCGAAAGCTATTCTTACAGAACTGAAGAGCTTTGATGCTGACCTCATGTGCATACAGGTTGTCTTTCATATGTGAAGTTTTAACATATAATAACACCCTTTATGTATGTCATCATTGTGTGGTCATACAAAGTTCTGCAGTGTTTACTGTTACTTTGGTTACTTTGCACAATATGTTGGCTTTTCAGTTCAAATTTTATTCTTATTATCTAGGGTTTTGTTTTACCCCAAAATTTTGCCAATGAATATGAAGAATTCCAACAGATTGTGCTGTTGTGGCATTGTTGGCCAAGTATAGAGGAAGTCACATCCTACCTTGTGTGTGCCATCTTGTCCAAAAAAAAGGAGAATCCGCTTCTTTTCTTCCTGTCCTCTGAGTCCTCTCTATATTCCTGGCTTTCCTGTCTTTGTCGTCTGTCCACAGCTGCTCCTTCTGTTCCTTGGCACCCAGGACTAGTAGCAAACTTCATTTGCTTATGATACGATACCTGTGCTTATGCTGAGAATGAGGCAAGGGGTTGCAAGATGTAGTAATGGTGTTTATTTCTTTTTCTTATGAGACAATTCCACCCTCTCACTAGATGGCATCAATGACATGGCCCAGTAGGGTTTGTAATGTAATGTTAGGCTAGCATGTCTTAATTTTACTTTCCTCTCATAAACTGAATTTGGGTTTTGCCCAACTAGATTCCAGCTATCACATGTGGTTCAAAATTATCCTTGTCCTATTTGTTCACAAATAAGTTTTTTGGGATGCTGGCATTCCTACTATCAATGTTCAGTCTCTTTTGTGTGGAATGATTCTCTTCTGGTTCATACTTGTAAGCAATATATAATTCATGTGACTTGCGCAGGAGTTGGATGAGTATGATACCTTCTACAAGAAAAATATGGAAAACTCTGGATATTCAAGTATTTACATTCAGCGATCTGGAGACAAAAGAGATGGCTGTGGTATATTCTATAAACCTAAAAGGTATTAATATTTTTCCTTAAACATGTCACAACAGCTACTGATCCGAGGGAAAAAAAAGTAACATTTAACCTCACCCATCAAAATATGTGTTCTCTTGCATCCAATTTACTATCGACGATTTCATGGAAACTGATCACTAATAGCTACGTGTCTTCAGTTTGGGAACAATTTCTTCTAAATAAATGATCAGTGATCTAGAAAGTTGAACACGGAACATGTTGGGTCTTCTGGGACTTAACGTCTTTATGTGCATTGCAAAAGTATTTTAACCTCATCATTTTTCTTTGGCTCTCTCTTACCTTTGCAGTGCAGAACTGGTGCAGAAAGAAGGAATACATTACAATGATTTAGTGGAAAAATACGTTCCTAGTGATCATGTAAATAGTGCCCTGGAAAATAATTCTTCAACGGAAGAAGGTAATTGGACTTGTATCCTACTATAATAATCTCATGTGAATCACAACAGTAGGGTGCTCCGCCATGAATCTTTAAAGTTGTAATCTGAGCTAATAATGCTACTTACAAGTTACAAGCTATATATTAGAACGGGCTGTTTTTTGTTCTGTTCTTAATGCTTAATAAATCTGTCATTGGAGATGCATTATATATCAGTGTCTAACAAGTTAACAGACTCCTCTAACCTCATACTGTAGCTATTTCCTGTACTTTGGATTTATCTCTTGCCTGGTCTGATGCTTGACGTTAATACTCCATGATGTTTTTCTCTCTCTTTTTCCAGACAAGAATGCAAAACCAGATAATAGCAAGCGCGGAGATCCAAATGATCCGCGCGTAAGATTGAAGCGTGACTGTGTTGTTCTGCTCGCAGCTTTCAAGCTTAGTGATCCTTGTGATCACATTTTAATTGTGGCAAACACACATATTTATTGGCAAGTGAAACAGAAAATTTTACTCTCTTTCGAATATGCTTTCACAAACTGGATATTTTTGTTGTGTTTGGTCTAGCTATATTGGTTGACAGCCGTCCAGCAAATGTATAAGTTTCTGGTTGATGCATAATTCTGTAGGGACCCAGAATGGATCGATGTAAAGTTAGCTCAGGCAAAATATCTTCTTTCGAGAGTATCTCAGTTTGAGCAACTCATCTCAAATAAATATGATTGTAAACCTTCAGTGATCATTGCTGGTGACTTCAATTCGACCCCTGGTGACAAGGTATGCCTTGCATTTATTTCATTGCTTCCTGAAGCTGATTGTAAAAACGTCATGTCGTGCTTTTGCTATTATTTCTATCTAGTGTAATACGAAGTATAATTAGAACATCATAGATGTGATTCTGAGAGGTCCTTTTTTATATATAAAAAATCCCATTGGGTGTCTTATGTTTTCTTGGACATGTATGGACCACGTGGGACGCAAAAATATCTTATAATGAATGGACTTATGGACATAATTGTAGATCCATGCTCAATTGGACGATATTAGAAAGGGAACTTTGTGCACAGCAACTCACATATTGGTTTCATGATATAACATAATCTGTTAACCAGTGTTGATTTTGGGTTCAATACAACTTTGTCCCACCCCATCTGATTAAATACCACAATTTTCAGGTATACAATTACCTTGTATCTGCCAACCTAGAATCTACAGATGAAGCTCCAATCAAGCTACGCAGCCTTTATGCTGAGAATGGAGGGGAGCCAGAGTACACAAATTACACTCCTGGTTTTACTGGAACACTGGACTACATATTCTTGTCGGATGGTAGTTCAATAAAACCTACTAGCCTACTTTGTTTGCCGCGAGGGGATTCTGACGATGTGAAAGGAGGCTTGCCTAACTTTCAACATCCTAGCGATCATCTACCAATTGGTGCTGATTTTCTTGTAGTTAACAGCTAGTGCAGGTGTTGATTGCATTTTCAACAGAAATAGTAAATGCCATTGAATAATTTGTGTTGTTAGTTCAAGTTTCAGTGTTTAAATGTAATATCGCAAGGAACAGACGTTTCTTTTCTTGTAGAGCCAATAGCAATGAACAATGCGAATTTTATTCATCAATATTAATATGATAGTTTGTATGGGCATTGCGGATTTTGTTCTTCCTTAATTTTTAAAATGATTCTTCTTCCTTCCATTTCTCGTACTGAGTATAGAGGGATTGGCAGAGCTCGGCGTGCAGCAAAAATTCAGTTAGGTAGGTATATGATGTCAGCTGGAGTAGCATCATCTTCAGTTTTAAGTTTTAGGGTTGAACGCAGTCCAACTTGTTTAACTGAATAAGTTCAACACTAGGAAATGAACCTCGTGGAGTCGTGGTGTTATCCCTGGATTTGAAGCACGTGTATTCAATATTTTTATAAATGTGCTGATGCTGTTGTCTCAGATTTTGAAGAACGTGTATACAATATTTTATACTCCCTCCGTTCCAATCGGAGGGAGTATAAGATAAAGAAAATCGACTGCTTCAACCTGTTATGTGACATTTATAATTGATTAATACACTTGTATACCATTGATTAGCAAAAATAATGGAGACTGAATACCCCCGGGCCTGCCCCTGGTATTATGCTAAGTGAGCTTTAGAAAGAACATATGTGCTGATCATTCTTTCTTCAAAGTACCAAAAAAGTCAGCATAACTCGAATGACATTTTACAATGGCTACAGAAATAACGCAGCAAGCTGATAAGATCATTGCAGTCGAATATGGCCTTTTTCCTTCGCATATCTACCCTACGCCCTACGATCTCCATGATACTTACGATGTGTAAAACCCACCTCTGTGATGTTATTTCAGGCTACATTGTAGGCATGACAATGGTTCGATATACATCATCAAACAGTTTGCCACTATAATACGTAGTACATTTTTTTGGGGAAGAGAGGTAAGCATTGGCAATGAGGCAACATAAGCAAATTGAACTGTTCATATAAACACATGTAACAGGCAAACCATTACATAAAACGACGTAACTAGTTACATAAAGTAATACTAAATCTGTAGAAGAATGGTAGTGGCACGGATGCATGTACATATATGCTCGTTGTTTGACGACAGTTCTTGAGAAGCCTTACAGGTGTTAACACCGGACAAATCTAATCTTCTCCTATTTTGTTTCTGCAGGCTATGATCACATAATGAAACTGAAACGAGACCAAAAGGATGAGGGTAAAGCCCAGCAATGAGCGTTACATCATCTCCAGATAATATTTATGTATTCTACTCTTCTTTCTTCTCCTTTTCTCTTCTCTCTTTGATCAAAGACGAGCAACATAGTGGCAGAATTGTGCACACGGCCTCAATCAACAGGCAAGCTGGCAGTGCTGAGAAATCATCTCCAGATACTCCCATGAAGGCAGCAAGAGCAACTCCAAGATAGCCACTGACAATAGTGGCAAGGGCAAGTGCAGACATGAGAAAGGCCATTACCGATCCCTCACAACCAGCAGGGCAAAGTTTTGCAATATGAACACTGAAGGGCAGGACCTTGAAAAATATAAGACCCTCGAGCAACCCAGAGAAGACAATCGTGTATATGGAGTCTGGTATTCCAACCTTCCTGTATATTCCCTGAACGAATAACACATCTGACAACATTATGAGTGCTGTGACAAACTGCAGAACTGATAGGACCTTCCAGGCGGACATTGTTTTGAAGTACTTGTTGTACGACATGCTCCAAGCCAAGAGAGCCACTTGCCCAAACACCTTTGATAAGCCGATAACTGATGAGTCTAGTCTTAACACTTCAGTCTGATAGAAGAACATGGTCCCAAGTAGAAAAGGTATGACGGCGTAAGACACTGTAAACCAGTGTTTTTAAGGCGTCGCCTAGGCGACGCCTAGGCGTCCAGGCGTACCCAGCTCGCCTTGGGAAACAGTGGCGCCTTGTGGCCTAGGCGTCGCCTAGGCGCCGCCTAGGCGTCTAGGCGTACCAAGCACTCGCCTGGATGCCTAACCGCCTTTAAAACTATGCTGTAAACCATATGATTGACCAAAACATTTCAGGCATAGATTGGGCACATGACAGCTCTTTGACTTGCTTACGGATGCTGGTGAGTGCTGATAGATTGGTAGGAGTAGCTGCCTTTGGGAGTTTGAGAGAGCTCTCAGGTATAGCCACGGTTGTGAAGAACTGGAGCAGGAGAAGGATTGCGAAAAACAGAAACATGATTTTGGGAGAAAAATAGCTGAGAGCAATGCCTCCAAGGAGGTTTCCTAAAGCACCAGCAGAACAGCCGAACATCCAAGCAAACGATTGAAGCTGACCCGATCCCGAGGAAGATGTCACTATCTTCCCAGCCTCCGCCACAATGGCATCATTGGCAACCTCACATATGGAAGCACCAAAGTTGCTCAAGAGGAGAAAAATGGTAAGAACCTGAAGAGAGATATCTTGCAAAGTGCAATTGGCGTACCCAGTGCAGAGAGCTCCCGCTCTGTGCGGGGTCTGGGGAAGGGTGTTAGTGGCAAGCCTTACCCTTGCCTGTGCAATGCGAGGAGACCGCGACTCGAAAGGCAATTGCTAGCCATGAAATTGCCTGCAAGAGAGCTGGAACCACAACAATCAAAAGGCAAGTTAGCATGGTAAATGCAAAATTTCAGTAAGAAAGAGTAGTGGCATAAGCCTTTGCAATACAATGCTGACGTGATTTCTATGCCCATTCCAAACAAGACATGAAAATACAGCACCGACATTTCCAATGGTAGTCAAGTTCACTGGAATCAAGGATTTATAAATATACATGCTAAAAGTAGCCCTGGTGTGGAACCTAGGTCCCTGGGTTCACTTGACTTCGTCTTTTGTGTACTTCAGGCCATATTTTCTGTTAACTGATGTGATTGACGGATTCAGCAAATTATTTATCGTTGCCAGAACAAGTAGCTAACTATTAAATGCTTCAAGATAAATTGGAATACAAAGATTCAAGTGATGCTAGCCAATTGTTTGGATGGTGTTTATAAATTGAGATGCAGAGTAAAACATATATTTTCTCTGCAGCCACAGTTTGAATCATGGGACATTGGAATAAGTTGGTTCACCATCCTTGAATTTCATCAAGGCACTTGTGTTGGGCAAGAAAGAATATTTTAAAGTGGACAGCTAGGGCCACATCAAGAGTTGATAGCTCATTCATGCGTGACCTAGTTGGATTGGGAGCTTTCTAGCTTGTTGATTTGTGAATGCGTAAACATCAACAAGAGAGCTAATTTGGTGGAGGACCATATAAAAGTTGTTGCCTTGAAAGGCAAGTGGGGGAGGAAAAAAGGAAGACAAAGACGAATGGTAATTAGAAGAAGAAAAGAAAAGGTTAAAGAGAACAGACGGGACCGGTGAGGAAAGGCAAGAGGACAGGCAGTGCGTGAGCATATTCTTTGCGGTGCTATCATTTGACATGGGACACTGTCATTTGCCATGGGACACACATGTACCGACAACACGGGAGACAAGAATGTGAAAGATCCATGGTTGTTTATTCTGTCACTGAGAAGACAACGCGAAAGCAGAGAAATGCTACGCATATTCACAGGCTTCACTGATAACTACTCTGTTCATGTTTAAGAGCTAGATTAAGGACATATATGTTGAATAGCACATGCAGGTTTTAACAGGTACATTAAAGTAAAGAGATATATATATTTATATTTTGGATAACAAAAATGAGTAAAATTCCATCCTGGTGGTATACAATTCCCAAAAACAAGCAATAAACAAGATTCGGGAGCAATGTGTTAGATTAAGTCCGATGAGAATAATGACGACGTGAATTGGTAATTGCAAATGTGGGTTCGGGATCTAGGCAACAAATACTAAATACAACAGGATAGTAAAAGAGAATGGCCAAGAGGGCGTACCGCCGATGGCGACGTAGGGCAGGCGGCGATGCCCGCGTATGGGGACTGCATCGGAGAGGAGGCCAAGGAGCGGCTTGGCGACTATGGGCAGGTTGGCGGAGGCCTGGAGGATCTGCAGCAAGGAGGCGACGACGCCCATGCCGTCCTTGAGGAAGAAATTGACGCCCAGCCACGGGAAGAGCCGGAAGCCCTGCACCCAGAACCCCACCCCGATCACCAGCCGCCGCCTCGCCGCCGCCGCCGCCGCCGCCGCGGCACCCTCCAGATCCTGCTTCTCCTCCTTCTCCATGACTGGGCCTCCTCCTCCTCCCGTCGTCCGGGTTCAAATCCAAATCTTGATCCCGTCACTTCGGCTCTTCTCCTCCCGATCCAAGAGAACAGACTGTGAGCTGGCTCCTAGTGGGTTCTCGCACCCACGCGTACGAGGACACGTAGAAAGGACATACTCCTAGATTTGATTTATTTTACCTGAATTGATTATTGGTGCAGCGGATCCACGATGCGAGGAGGAGGTGAGAACGCGTCGGGAGGTCGAGGAAGGTGGAGCGCGCGGCCTAACTGACGCCTCGGGTGGGCTTGATGTGAGCTGAATGTATGGGCGGCTAGGCGAGCATGTGCATGTTGGGTTTTCACCGGGCCCGCCGACCAGGTGGGCCACCATTAACAATCCATTGCTTGCCGCCTTCGTCACTTCTTTCTCTGAAAAAAAAAAGGAATTCCCTGTCACTGTCAGGCAGTGGTGCAGCTAGAAAGCTACTCTCTCTCCCTTCCAAACATACTAAACAAAAATATTCGCAGTAGGCATGAAAATAATTTTGATTGCGTATTTATTTTAGAGTCATAAATGTGATAATATTTTTTATATAAATTTTATTAAATTGAAGATAGACTTTGACCAGGTTAAGAATTACATAGGACTAGTATAGTGCCCGTGCTAACGCTACGGCTTCATTCAGGAATATACATGGAAACAACCAAACAATGATTTTTTTTTCCAAAGTTCAACTTTCATACAATTGTATATGACCATGTATATACAATCCGGAAAACACTTACACGTAAAAAGGCATAATAAAGTTATTTCTCGCATTAACCTTATAATTTACAAAATGCCTAAGTCCTTAAACATATCTTGGAGATCTTCATGGCCACTTCATGCAAACTTCATCACAAATCATCAAAGATGTCGTACCAAGCTTCTTAAAGTAGATATAGCTTCTTAAAGTAACTCTATAATTCACTTTTGATAAATGAAAGAAAAATTGTATTTGATCTTTTTTTAAATTAAATAGTAGATATAGTCGTAAATATATGTGCGCAATCGCGATGGATATTTATCTGGTTGTTCCTCGGTTTCTCACTCTCTCCCATCCTGTTTTTCTTTCTTCAGATGATTCTCGGGTATTAGAAAGCTAGCTAATGAAAATTATTAGACAAAAGAAAAAAAAGCATTTCTTCTTGGCATAATTAACTGATTTATCAAGTAAGTTTTAAGTACTCCATTTGTTTTAAATTATAAATCGTTCTAATTTTTCTAGATACATACTCCCTCCATTTCAAATTATAAGTCGTTTTGATTTTTTTTTTCATCCAATTTGCTATGTATCTAGACATATTATTATATCTAGATGCATAACAAAATGGATGTACCTAAAAAATCAAAGCGACTTATAATTTGAAATGAAGGAAGTAGTTTTTACTATGTATATAGACATAATGTATATTTAGGTGCATAGCAAAAGCCTGCAGACGCTCCACTGCCCTACTGACGCGTGGGGTCACCAAACCAGGTCCCACGTGTTCTTTACGGAAACCTACGAGTGGGTATGTTGGCAGGTATGTCGTCATTCCTTATTGACGCAATACCAGAACGGCACGGAGAGTTTTGGAAGGCGCGTTAGATGGGGCCGGGCTCGGCGTGGGTTTTTCCATTATAATGACAATTTTGGAAAATTTCCTTGATCGGAGTCACGGATCCCTCCTTCCTATTTGCCTTGATTGACTTCCATATTTGTCTTGATTGACTTCCATTGGTTTCCATTTTATCGTAGCCTGCGAGATGTGTGAGGCGTGCGTTGACAATTCTGGAAATTGCCTTGATCGGAGTCATATTTGTCTTGATTGATTTTTATTGGTTTTCATTTTACCGTAGCCTGCGGGATGTGTGAGGCATGCGTTGAAGCCTGGGCGGGGGAGATCCAAATAACGTTGGCTATCGAATCAAGTTGAAGCCTGTGAGAAAGGATTATGAGCCATAAATTTTAATGATACGGTAATCCTGGGTACAATTTCGTTGGTGCACAATGGTTGTAATTTTTCAGCGGAGGACTTTTTTTTTGGAAGACATAATATAGTTTTGATTGGTCCCTTAGAATAGGGATGAAAGTAGTACTACATTTGTTTCATATATTTATAGATTTATGTATAATTTGTTTATATGGTAATAGTTCGATATATGTGTCATACTTTTCTTTCGGAACGGCCAACTCAATGGTACCTGCCATCTGTATGGTATAGATATGGCTACGAAGTTGTACTTATGCATGTATATAGATTTTTTTCTAGATGCGAACAATCTTCTTAATGAACATTAGGTATAATAAGTGGGTAATACTTGGGTCCTGGACGTAGTCGGATTGGCATCTATTCACATGGGTTGAAGTGAATTCGAGTGGAACTTTTGAACTAAATTTCACCTCAATCTACCCCAACACATGTGGATTGAGCTAAATCCGACAACATCGGTATAGATCCATTGTCATCCAATTCCATGACTAATCACCATGTTCGCTTAAGCTACTTTTCAACCATGAAATAGTATTTTTCTCTTATAATATTTCAGCATAAGCATTAGTATAAACCTAATTTCAGCGAAAGCGAACAGGGTGATAACTAAGCTTCGACTTAAAAAAAATAACTAAGCTCCGAGGATGTAGTTTGGGCTTGTGATTAGAAAGGCTAGATTGTCGTCGATTTCACCAGTCCAAGCCCATCTTGGAACGTAGGCTTTGGGTTTCGGGCTTTCTTCTTATGGCAGGTGGGTTGGACCGGCCCAATCATTACACCGATGCTTCTCAGCCCAGCTCAGATCCGGGAGGACAGCGGTGATATGCGCCGTGGATTTTGCAATCGGACGGCTAACAGCACGGCTTCGCTGTGCCCCGCCTTCTCGTCACAAATCGACGACAGGACCCATCCAACCCCAGGCAGAAGCAAAACCCCAATCTCTGCGCCGCCGCCGCCGCCCTCCTCCGCCGTTGCAGTCGCGGCCTCATAGTCGCCTACCGATCCCCACCGCCCCCACTGCCACCGACCCACCAGAGGTGTCGCCATGTCTCAGAATAATCCCTCCCAGCTCCTCCCCTCAGGTGCGCGACGGACCCAAGAATATATCACTTTACGTTGAGCTGTGCTCGCGATTCGGTTGTCTCTGCATTCTATATTTTGGGGGTTCGAGTTCTTGAATCGGCTGTTTCCTTTTGCATGGCGTGCGCGGATTGGTGCGGTGACCAGAGCTGATCGACCGGTGCATCGGGTCCAAGATCTGGGTGATCATGAAGGGGGACAAGGAGCTCGTTGGCACCCTCTGCGGCTTTGATGTCTACGTCAATATGGTGCTGGAGGACGTCACCGAGTAGTATGTCGAAAATCACCCCCAAACACCTAAACCCTAGTCTATGTTCTTCTACGTTGTTTCCCTTGTTTGGTTTGATGTTTCTTCAGTGTACTAGCTCAGACCACTTCCTTACCCCAGTTGTTGCTAATTTTAGTGCAAAAATGTTGCTCATACTCATGGCATCATGTTGGTGGGGCTTGGTTAATTTCTTAGATATAACTAACCCAGTGAATTGCAGATGAGATCTTTGTTATAGAGGGTACTTCAGACCAATTCGTCTGTCAACAGGCTTGGATATTACATAACTTTTAATGAAAAAAAAAGATAGTTTGTGCTCGTTACATGAAAGCAGTGGAGCTTGAATAGTGTCTAAGAGATAGTTAATCTAACTGGTATTGCTTCATAACTTTGTAAGGGAGCTCGACCCTACTGCTCAGTTATTAATTACTTGATGAGAAAAACACCATAGCATTCAGAACATTGTCCTTTAGAAAGCTCCACCAGTAAGGATGGTCCAATCTTATTAGTGAAAGACAACAGAGATGCAGCCAAGTTATCTAGTGATCGCATTCATATTTACTTGCAAAACATGATTCGTTTTGGAGGTTTGATAAACTCCTGGTTCTAAGAGACTCAGAACTCCAGAATTACAGAAGCTATCTCCTTAACTTTTAAATCAAACTCCTACCTTGCAGCAAAAGACGGTAGTTCATTTTCTTTGCCATTCTGTATATAAGCTGCAATAAACCAACACTTCTTTAGAAGAGGATCCATTTTAAAGCTGTACTAGATGGTGAACTGTCCGGTTTCCCCGAGCCCATGCCTTGTAACTTACAGTAAATTTTTCTGTATATTTTGAAAGCGCAGCAGGAGTTTCGGTGAATCAAAACGTTGATATCAATTGTTCTCCTCCGAACCTGAAGTTACAACACTTAGCTATAATAGAAACAAATGTTTCAAGTTAACTTAGATCTAGTTTCTTCACCAGTTCACCTGCTCTATTAGTGATTTATAGCTCTATTTGAAAGGCGTTGCCTAGATGTCCGGGTGGACCCAACTCGCCTTAGGGGTCTAGTTACACCTTGTCAGGTGACAAGGCATACCTAGCTTGCCTTGGGTCGCCTTGCCTTTGAAACCATGATTTTTAGTGTTCATTTACTTTTCTGAATTTTAGTCCATAATCTCACCAGCTTCATGTCTTATCCTGCAGTGAATACACTGCTGAAGGGCGCCGCATTACAAAACTCGACCAGATCCTCCTGAACGGCAACAACATAGCCATTGTAAGGATCATGATCAGATAATGCTCATTTTTAGTGCTTTCGTTATTGTCTAATGCTGATTGCCATGTCTAACACACTCACTTGTCCTGTCACAGTTGGTTCCTGGTGGTTCACCACCTGATGTGTAATGAGCTTTTGCTTCCCAGAGTAACCATTCGAGGTGAAAGCATCCCCGTGAACTTTGCACCTTATTTTGGGTAATCATTGGATGTTTCCTCATCTCGGATGTGTTTCTCCTGTTCGTGATTATACCGAAGTTTATTGTTGACTCTGTGTCAGCATCGAAGCTCTCCTATGTATTGAACTTACTGACCTGAAGTAGTGTGCCTGCATAGCTGTGGTTATATGATTGGCTATGCTAATTCTGTGTATCTCTGCTCATCATCGTTG